CCACTCTCTAGCCTATATATAATAATTGGTTTTCTCATGTTTTCTGGAACTGAGAAGATACCTCCCAAGAAAGAAAAAAAAAACAGATAAAAAATAACGTGTTCAAACTAATAAAGCAGCAGTTACATAGGTTTACACATGATCTGCTGGGCCATTTTCTCAGTGATGACCTGAAAAGAACAATTAGGTTTTTAATCCTGAATCAAGATTTGTGGAAAACCCCAAAACAATGATTTGGCTCTTCATTGCAAAAGTGCCTTTGGGGGTGGGGAAGATAAATTTCAGCCAATAGCATCAGACACATAGGGTACATAGATATGCCAAAGAAACCCTTAACAATTAAAGATTAAGCAAATATAGCTCTAGATTTATTCTTTACAGAAACTTCCTTGTCATCTTTTATGAACAATGCACCAAAATGTGAAGGTTAAAAGAACATTCTCAAGCCCAGCTCAGTGTGCTATAGTGTCTGCTCCAGCTTTGTCTGGAAAGCAAGGAAGAGCACATCCCAAAAGAATATTCCAGAGTATGCACACCTCAGAGATGAAATATTTGGTCAGAGGGTGTGGATGAAGTGGGAGCGAGAGGGAAGCATTACACAAGCACACACAGACCCAAACCAAGAAGCCAAGTGTCAGTCTCTTTAGCTGTCTAAAATCTGCATCAACATACTTAGGGAAGAAAAATGTCTGCAATTATTCCATGTGTCTCACAAGAGAACAATAGAATAATTTTAGTTCTAAGGTTACAAAAGTATCAAGGTGATAGGAAATCTTGAAAACCAAGTGATGTTTAATTCGCCCCACCTCTCACCCCTACCCTCATCCAGAAGTTTCCTGTTGAGTACAGTGGCTTCAATCCCATCCACTTACCACCTTCCCTTAAAACAGAGCAAACAGCAATTCCCGAGAGGGGTAACCAGACACTCAGTTCTCGCAGTGGCATTAAGCTGGATTTTCCTGTTTTCAGAAAATACCTTCAGAGCAATTGAGGTTAGTATTGTCTGTTGTCTTTGTTTGCAGTGCTCTGGGAATCCTTTAGTTGTGATCACTCATTCTAAGAGGGAACCCAAGATTGCTGCCACCACCTACACTTGGTTATGCACTGGGCCCGAGTGTCCTCCCGACATCGCATTTGCTTAAGTGCCTTTGGGGGACCTGAGGATGGAGAGGATAGCTGTTTAGGGGGTGCTTACAACACCAGCAATGATCCCTTCCACATGCACAGCGTTGTACAGTTACAAACTATTGCATATACGCAACATTAGGAAAGTCGCAGATACTCAGGGATATAATGCAGAGGACACACTATCTTCACTCGAGAGATGGGAGATCTGAGGCCTGGAGCAGTGAAGTGATTTGCTTATGGTCACAGAGTTGACAGGTGGTGGAGCCTCCTGTTGTGAAGATCCTCCCATTTCTCCCAACGTCACCCATCAAATCTTCAGAAAAGTCTGTTCTTTGCTTTCTCAGCCTAAGGCACATTACTCGCAGTGAGTTGGGATACATCTTGGGGAAAATGAATGCCTCCAGGGAAGGGATAAAGTTCAGGTTTAAAGATGAACCAAGGGAGAACCTGGGATCTGAACTTGAATGAAAAAATTAGGAGTGGGAGGAAGAAAGGGGATTGCCCCCATAGTCCCAATAAGTAGGAATTAAAAAGCACTTCCTGGTGTATTTCTTCATGGAGACCCTGCTACTGTTTTCAGGGCTTCTGTCTCTGCGCTGACACTTTGGGCTACCTAAAACAGTCTCAAGGAGGGGCTGTCCTGTGCATTGCAGGACGTTTAGAAGCATTGCTGGCCTCTAGCCACTAGATGTCAGTAATACCTCCTTCAACTCCCCATGTTGTGACAATGAAAAGTTTCCAAACTTTCCAAATGTGTCCTGGCGGAAAACTCGCCCTGGTTGGGAACCATGGCTTTCAGTCCATCCTCTGCAGAGCGGCCGGGCAGATGTATGCAAGTCACCAACTTACTCCTCTGCTTCCTGCCCTGCAGAAGCTTCCAACTGTCCTCAGAAGAAAAGTCCAACACCCTGAAGGAAACATACCAGGCCCTTCATCATGTTCTGGGTCCTGCCAACCTCTCCAGTCTCTTTCCCCTCTACTTCCTGCCTTGCAATCTTTGCTCTAGCTCTAAACAAATGCTTGTAGATTGTTACCACACAGCCATGCTAGTTTGTGTCCCCACATTCGTGCTGTTTTCTCTGCATGAAGTATCCTCCCATCAGTTGTTTATCTTGTAAATTCTACCCAACCTTCAAGACTTGGCTAGGTGTGAGCATCATGTAGAAACATACCCTAAGCCCTTTCCATTTCCACCTGAGGGCTAGGTCAATCCCCACATCTGTGCTCCCACAGTACTTTCTGCAAAATTCTAGCATAGCACTCATCACCCCATCTTGTACTTGTCATTCGCTCCTACTATCTGTGAGCTCCTGGAGCGCAAGGCTGTGTTTTATTCAAACCTGAGGCAGAGTGCTGGCAAGTAGCATTTACCCAGCAGTTTACTGAAGTGAGACACAAAGAACAGTTGAAAGTGCACCAGTTTGAGTCAGAACACCAAGATTCTAGTCCCTATTCTACCATTAGCTAGCTGATTGCTTACCATCCCTGAATCTGTTTCTTCATCTAAGGAATAAGATTTTGGACTAAATGTCTAAGAGTCCTTATAAGCTAAAATTGCTGATAGGAAAATGTTCCCTTTTAAAAAATGTTTCACTTAAGTGTTTCCCAAAGGGCAGAGCCATCTTCTTCCTCCCTCTTCTGAATGTGCACAGCTTCCTCTACCTTTTTCAAAGTCTTTTCCTATTGACTGTTTCACTTGACCCCAGAAATGATTATGGCAGCCTGGAAGACCATTCTTCCAAACAAGTGATGTAAAGGTAAACTGTCAGGTGTTACCATCATTGAAGATGGAAGAATATGTGTATTTATATGTACATAAAGAGACCCTTCCAGGTGGTGTAACAATCAGGTAGGTGGTAGGCAGGGGATTAGAGCAAGTCTTTTCACCGAATACCTTATATTAGGAACCGGGCCGCACAGCAGGAAGTGGGTGGTGGGCAGGCTAGCAACTCTTTATCTGTATTTACAGCGGCTCCCTAGTACTAGTATCACAGCCTGAGCTCCACCTCAGATCATCAGGCATTAGATTTTCATAGGAGCACTGGTCCCTGGTACCAAAAAGGTCGGAGTCCGTTGCCTTATATTGTTAGATTTTGAGCTATCAGAATACGATATCTATTTAAAAATTAAAGATAGTGAATACAACCAAATGAATGGCATCATTTCCCAAGCATCATTTCAACTGGCCTTAAGAGCAGGTGACACATATAGACCTGAGGTCAGTGGTCAGATCACATCCTCTTCTGGCTACTTGCACTTGTAAAAAATCAAGAGACCAAGCCCGATCCCGTCTGATCTCAGAAGCCAAGCAGGGTCGGGCCTAGTTAGTACTTAGATGGGAGACCACCTAAGAAGACCAGGTGCTGCTGTAGGCATAAAAAATTTAAAAAATAAAAAAAAATTACTGGATTATAAGCTGACAAGGTCCTTGCAATCTGTGAGGTCAACCAAGTACCTACTCACTCGACTTAAAAAAAAGATCAAGAGACATGGAGGTTACAAAGTACCTAGCTTCTAAATGCTTTAATCCGATTCACTCCCTGGCAGTGGAGTATAAAAATAAGGCTAAATTTCATAGCAGGTTTCACAAAAAAAAGAGGTAGATTCAGACCCTCATGTTGAACTCAACTGATTTCTACCTATCATTTTGTTGCCCCTTACTATACAGCCCTGACATTCACCTAAGGAGAAAAACAGTGGATGATCCCTGCCTGAAGGCACAGTGGAGAGATGACATAAAACTCAGTAGATTTAGTGACAGATTTGGTAATGTTGTCAATAAGTCTGTATCCCTCTCTGTACTGCCCTTTCTTCCTTTCCAGAGATAGTTCTCATAAGTATCAGCTCAATGAGGCCTGTGCAGCACTAAATGTAGAGCAGAGGTTGCATTAACTTTGTAATCACAACCATGGCTTTCCTTGGAGAGTTCCATCATCACAGGGTGGTACAATATAGAGAGCCTTACTCTCTAAGTGTGAATGCCACCTCCTTGCTCTCTAAACCCTGCCCATAAGATGAGGTCCATGGAAACCATACAATGCAGGTGTTTAAGGTTATCAACAAAACAGACGTTAAACTGGATAAAGGAAAGAGTTGAAAAACAATTTAGTATTCTCACCTAGAGGTCCTGTGGTCATCCAGGATATTGAGCTATACACATGGAGTATCACCACCTTTACAGTAGTCAGCTTTTCAGATTTTTGTATTTCAAGTGGTCAGGACACTCATTTTAATAAACATAATGATTGTTGTTGCTGTTCTACACTAAAAACAAAAATCAACACTTAAGCAAATACTATGTATTAGATGCAGAATGCATGAAAGCTGAAGGTGCAACCTCAGTTTTAAAAGCATACTAACTGGGGTTAAAGAATTACAAATTAGCAGTTGATAGATGGTCACAGGGATGAGAAGCACGGCATAGGGAATGTAGTTAGCATTGATATATTGGCTAGGTGGAAAACCAGAGGAGAGAAGGAGCAATTAGGGGGATCGTTTTATAAACTATATAAACGTCTAACCACCATACTACATACTTGAAACTAATAATAAAATTTTTTAAAAAGTCTTGAGAAACAAACAAAAAATTTTTTTTAAAGCATCCTAACTGGAATTTTAAACACCATTGGATTCACTCAGAAAAGGAACTAGGGAAAAATATTTAAATATCTATTACAAATAGTAGCAACTATCATTTATGGTACATTAGGCACTGGGCAGAGTGAGTAGGTACTTGGTGTACATTATGTCTATAATTTTACAAGCCTCAGCTACTCTAGTTTTTTTTGTTTGTTTGTTTGTTTTTAATGATAAAGCCATGTTGAGTAGATTGCTTGATCTTGTGTAGTATTATTTTAGAAAGTAAAGAAAACCTTTGGTTCTACTTTTTAATTTTTATTACATACTACATAATACACTACATAACCTTCTAGCAGGCGCAGATGAGTGTAACTGAGTTATTTTTCATCAATCGGGGAAATGCTTCCTTAATCAATGTTCTCCAAACCCTGAAAAACAGTGTAAAAAGGAAAATGTGAGAATTCTGTTCCTGTCAGAGGTACATGTATGTACTCTAATTTCTACTGTCACCAAATAGCATTCTCTGTTATTAAAGTACTTTCGCACCCTACATTTCTCTAACTGCAATAAATTGGACTGAATTTTATAATCACTAAAGAATGAATAACTTATAATGACTTCTAGTTTTCATTTTCTGAAAGTAGAAAACATCGCTCTATATGAAACCCTCCCACCGCCCCCCCCCCCGCCTCCGGCACACAAACCGCCCCGCCCAACAAGAACTAAAGTCAAGCAACTATTTACCATCTGGATCCTTCTATAAAGCACCCTCAGAGAGTCAGAAGACAGTAAAATAAAACCACTTTATAAAATGACAGCCAACATGAGGAAGATACTATTGGCTTCATTCCACTTTTTTACAGATGAAGAAAGGAGACTGAGAGATTAAAAGTCTCTTGCTTAAATTAGTAAGGAAGTAGCAGAGTCAGAATTCAAGTACAAGCCCTTCCCCACTGTCTATAAAGCACCCTCAGAGAGTCAGAAGACAGTAAAATAAAACCACTTTATAAAATGACAGCCAACATGAGGAAGATACTATTGGCTTCATTCCACTTTTTTACAGATGAAGAAAGGAGACTGAGAGATTAAAAGTCTCTTGCTTAAATTAGTAAGGAAGTAGCAGAGTCAGAATTCAAGTACAAGCCCTTCCCCACTGTAGAACTCTTGCCTTGTGTAAGCATACTATTTATTCAGAAGATCCACTCTATCTTATTCAGTTCACAATCAAATACTTCAGAAACTATAAAGATTAATCAGTGATAACATTTCTTCCACATGTTACAATAATACAGCCCAGGTATTTTGTTTATAATTGCAGGAAGAATCGCCTTGAGAGAAATTAAAATTGCATAGTCCTAGGAGCCACCTTGTAGAAATCCTAATTCATTTGGTATAGCCAGGGCCTAGGAATCTGCATTTTATCTCATATGCCAGATGATTCTTTTTTTTTTTTTTTACACTTATCATGTCATGAATTCATAGGGAATGGGTTCCAGCAGCTCAGGCTTCTTTCCATTAGTTCTTACACAGTGTGCTCCTCTGAGGAGAGCAGGCTGGTGCTTCAGTTGAACTCAGGTACCTTTCTCTTTGGCTTCCTTCTTTTTTCTGATCATTTTCCTTCACATATTTCAGGAAGCTATCTCAGCTCTTAAGAGTGCTTAATACGCTTATTAATTCTCTTGGCAAGAATCTTGCCCTTAACTTGTTTGTTTACAATAATGCCTACCACATGCTGGGTAACAGTGTAGACTCTTCTACTTCTGTCATGGTAACATTTATGGGGCACTCCTTTTTGAACAGTGCCCATTCCGTTGACATCTACATTATCACCCTTCTTATAGATTCACATGTATGTAGCCAAAGGAACAACTCCATGTTTTCTAAAAGGCCTAAAGAACATGTAGCAGGTGCCTCTCCTCTTTCTCTTTGTGTTGGTCATTTTGGCGAATTACTTGAAGATGGCAGTTCTGGCAAAAAGCTGCCAAATGATTTTGGTTACTCTTGGACCATACTTTGAGAAATACTGCTCTTGATGAGTACACAGCTATCATTCACATTCTTTAGATTCTCAAATAACACTATACTGAGGCAGATTATCTAGGTTGAGTCCTCACAGTATTATTTAATTAGTGACCCTCTGTTCTCTCATCTATGAAATGGAATTAACATTTACCTAGGTTCACTGTGAGGAATAAATAAGCAAAGAGAAAATACAAAAAAGTAAAATTTTTAGAAAGAATAATGAGGATGAATAGTATTAGAACATAATATTAGGTTGAACTGTATGAAAATGCTACTTGGCCATTTTTGACCTATAAAAATGGCAATTTTATTATTCAAATATAAAACTGTAGTGATTCTTTACGTATGTATATTTCTGCAGTAACAGGCAAGCCAATGGAGTATAAAAGAGCATATCTGTGAAACAGGCCCATATGTATAAGGAAATTTAGTTTATTAGAGTGGTATTTCAAATAAAAAATGGACTGTTCTATAAATGGACAATTGTGACAACTGGCTATCTATTGGAAATAAAGGAAAGTTAAATCTTGGCTTCACATTATATCCCCAAATGACCTGTAGATAAGTCAAAGCACTAAGTGTAAAAAAAAAAAAAAAAAGAAAGAAAAAAAAAAAAGAAAAAAGAAACAAATGGGAGGGACTACATAAAACTAAAAAGTTTTTGCAAAGCAAAGAAAACCACCAACAAAATAAACACATGACCTATGAA